ACTTGCATTAACTCTCTTAACACAGGTATCATATTGTTTCAAGTCAGAGAACCTGAAACATTGCAACAAAGATTAGACTGAGAACAAAGCCTTGAAAACTACAGCCATTAGCCCTGTCATCCCCTATAAAGTTAATGGGTTGGGAAAATGGTCAGTCTTTGGACTAAAAGTTGATATTTAATTGAAAGAAAATGTTTTTAATTGTAATGGGGATTTTGCATTAGCGTGAACATGAAAAGGTACTAAAGAATCTAATCTAAAGTTATGTATTGATTTCCATCTTAACACTAGTGTAAAAATGAAGGAATACTTCTACTTCATAAACAAACTCGCCTATTCAGCATCATGACATCTTATTTGTTTTCAGGGCACAGAAGATAGACTTGAATGAAAAGAAGAAATAATAATATTCTCCGACATTTTTTGCCGGTGTATAGGACAAAAGCCATGACACTGCTGTAAACCCTGATTGACTCTGCACCAGAATTATCAAGATGTTATATGTCAGTTTCACATTTTCCAGGGTTATTTGGTTCAGGAAAGCAGGAACATCTGTAAACCTAGCACTATACTGCCTTAATCAAAATGGTTTTAGTGATCATGGATTATAACAAGAGACCTGACATAATGGATGTGCAAAGTCTGCTCACAGAATTAGCATCACTACAGCCTACATGGATGGATATATTTTGAAAAATATAGTTTTCTTGAAAAGGAAAAGCTAAATGAATTTAAATTCCTAGCATTAATAATACTCAAAACACTATATTGAGTTTAGGAGGTTTAATTTTCTTAAATACAAACTTATGTAAATCAGGTGTTTTTTTTTTTTTATCCAATAATAAGCTATTGTTTTGACATTCCATTTAATTCATTAACAAACAAAAATTTATCAAGAGTGATACCTACCTAAGATTTGCAAGTCAGCATAGGTTACTTCATTTAAAAGTGAAAGACGAAGAAGGCATTGCAAATACTTTTGCAAATAGTATTGCTATAATTCTATTATAAAAGTTATTGCTATACCGAGTTCTTATGGTCTGCTGTTAAGGTGCTTCTGTAATATACTCTGTAGTTTACCATTTGTAAACACATCTTTTTGATGTTTCTGCCAACATCCTGGCAACAAAGCAGTGCAATTTCAAATGAGCTAATTAACTTAATTGTTGATGAAGCATGAAACAGTTCATTCACCCTGTTAGCTGCACCATGACAACATAAGAGTCTCAGCCCCTGAAGTTACTCATCTATATAAGCCTATCTGTAGCTTTCCATTAAGATCTATTGCATGCCAAATGAGTATGGCTCTCCTAACAAAGACCAGTCCATAATGTACATGGGTAGAAAATCAGTGCTGTTGTTGAAAATACAAATGAACACAGAAATACTAGTAAATACTTTAAAATAAAAAAAAGGAAAAAAATGCAGAAACCCATTGCAGTTTGAAGCTGCAGATGAAAAGAAAACGCTGCGTATTTTATTTTCTAAATGCTGCGATTTAGACAATAGTTGCCTAAAACAAATGCTGAAAGATGAAAACTTTTGACATCACTATTCAGTCCTGAAAGGTGCAAACCCACATGTTCATAGTGTTTTTCTCCCTATGTATATTGTACACATACAAGAATGAAAACAAAAATAGATTAGCAAGTGAGATTTAAATGGTCATGCTTAGTCCTTTGTGTTTTTTTTTTTATTTATACTACACACATTAATTCCCACTTTGGACAAACTGTCTGAGTTTAAGATGTGCTTTTTCATACTCCTACTATCCAATACAAAATCTAAAGCATTTCTTCAAATTTTCTGAGGCTCCATTTCAGTAAAGGATAATAAGAGGATTAAACACTGTGCTACTGAAAGGTCTGCAAAAGTGTTCAACATGAAAGAAAGGATAACAATTTGACCCTCTGCCAATAGTCTCGATTATCCAGTTCCTTGAAATACACACACACACAAAAATCTCTGCTATGGTTTACAGTAAAATTTTGTTTGGCATCTTTCTCTTTCCCTGACCTTAAACAGTTCTGTAGTAATGAATAAAAATCCACCTACTTTAAAAATTGTCCAAAATCTTCACAAACACTTTCACAGCCAGGCCATTTGCAAACTCCATGACCATAGAGAGTATGTGAGGCCCCAGTCTCCTCATGTGACGAGCTGTAGCAAAAGAATAAGGCATCAGATTCATCTCAAAAGCCATAATCGTTGGAGGCTGCTAGCGCCTGTCAGGTTACGATCAGTGACAAACAGGTCAAAACAGGTCAATTTAGCTCAGAGCAGTCAGAAAAATTTAATCGTTCTATTGAATAGTTCAACTGCCAAGGCTAGATGATGTTCCAATTAGAGAAGAAATAGAGCCAAAGATGACTGTTAATAAAGGATGAAAAAATAAGATGACTGTATAATACTATATGCTAATTATGCCATATGACCTTGGTGTAACATCTACCTATAAATAAAAAATATACTCACAAGTGATCAATTCTGAGAAGAGATATTGAAGACTGACAGTCAGAATTTATGAATATTGTGAATATTCAAAAAATATTTGAATTTTCTACTTAAATGTGTGTAAAAATAAAGTTGCTTCCATTAATAAATATTTTTGTTCACAAGCGTTGCTTCCTTTAGCAATTTGGCTTCATAAACATCCCTAGCTGTATTCTGTGTCTTTTTTTGGAACCTCTGAAATAGTTTTATCCATAATAAGTTATCAAAGAAATTCCGGAAATGGTTCTGCAAATGTGGGTGTCAGCTACACATGACTGAAGCAAAGAAATATTCCATGAGATATAACCATAAAAATAATACTAACTAAAAGTAATACTATAAATGTATTCATATTTTTAATTAATACAAAATAATGATAGAAAAATGTTCTCACAGTAACATGAGGACAAGAGACATTTAAATCATAGTCCCATAATTTAAATATTAAAAAAATTAAACGGAATATTTATTTGAAAAAATTTACTTATTATACAGATTAAATTTCATCTTCTATTAGGATAATCTACATCTGACTACACTAATATATTCACTGATAAGTGCTACTGCTACTAGGTACTCTTGAATGCACTTAATCCATTACTTGAAATTAAGGAACAATGAAGAATATCTATCAATATGTCTGAAAAATGATTTTAACTTTATCCATATAGCGGAATTCCACACAAACACCACAGAAAATTTGTATGAAATATGTCAGCTGCGTTACTGTCGTGCATAAAAGAAGGGAAAGTCAGTGGTTCTTTTCACAAGGACCAAATGAGAACTTCTTTAATATACTGTTTTGAAGCACTTATAGAATCTTTGAACTGAATTACAGTCTTGAAAACTTATACAGATGTACATTTCCAGTGAAACCAGGAGTATGATTCAACAGTAAGGGCCTGACTGGTAGGTGTGTTAACTCAAAATGAACGAAACTATGCACCTTACAAAAGTGCCCGCAAATGTGCATTTAAACCTCTGCACCAGCCCACTCTATTCTGTGATTTAAGTTCAGGTATCATAAAACCACTGGAGGGTCATTTTGTTGTGTCTGAACGATTAGATATTGTTATTGAAAATTATGCCATATTGACAAACAACTCTGAAAAATCAGGCCTCCACGATCTCTTAAGTAACCTGTATTAAATGTTGTTTTGTGACTGGAAATAATGTGACTTATGATTTATACAACAGCTTTATGTCAAATGAGAAGCACAGTTGAAATCTCATCAGAATTACCTGTCTCGCCTTGCATTTAGAACTGAAGACTGTCCATTCACTATGGAATGATGAGTTATTGGTGGTGATGCTTTGGAAGTGGTGGAGGAGGTAGTAGAGGAGGAATTGTTAGTAGTGAGGTCTAGCCCTCCGTGTTTAATGCCATTGTCTTCCATACTGTGAACTCCAGTCACTTCTTTCCATAACTGCTGAATCTCAGCAGGACTTAAGCCAGCTATAAAATGAAAGAGAGCCCCACTAATATAAAAAAGTAAAGAGTTTCATATAATGAGCTCAGTGTTATTAATGGATTAATGCCAACAATAAAGCTGATGCTGTTTTTCCAGCACAATCAACATGTAGTAAAACATAAATTCATTTGTCTTCTGTTACAGTCCAGGTAATCTTACTATCCTCTCTTGTGTTTTAAACAGTCAATTAGAAATTATCAATTTTAATAATATTACACTTCTTCTGAAAACATAGCTCAAGGATAAAAGAGTGAAAGTTGCAAAGAACTTGCAACTACTTCTTAAAAAAAAACCCCAACCCTAAATTTACTTCAAACAAGATTTTTGTTGTCTGCTTACTCAATTTCTTGACATGGAAACATAACTCAATACATCTACAGTTAACTCAGGTTTTATAATTCTTCTTAATCAAACATGTAATGGAAAACAGAAAAACATATTACATCAGCATACAAATATTGATATTCTCTTAAACACTTAACAAGAGCTGGATAAGGGGGAAGAAGACTAGACGGAGGAAAATCAGAAGAGAAAAATTAAATAATCAATGAGATCATAGGTTTAACATTTTATCAGAATGTATCTGACATTAATTAATGACACAAATTATTCCATTTAAAAATATGTCCTAAAAGGCAAACCAAAAGACACTGTTTAGAAGAACAAAACCAAAAAACCCAACAAAAATTACAGTGCTGACCTACATCCTTGTGATCACTTGAGTTTTTCAGTACCAGCCAACTAGAAAGGTAGCAGCACTTGGGCTTCACAGATGTAACAGAATATTCTGAGTTGGAAGGGACCCACAAGGATCACTGAGTCCAGCTCTTAAGCGCATGGTCTATACGGGAATCAAACTCACGACCTTGGCGTTATTAGCAAAATTGGCCCATTTACAACTCTCTCAATTTCACAAGGAGTGAAATTACATGTAAGGTAGACCATCAAATTTCTCCACTATATATTTTTGTCCAGCTCTACTGTAGAAAACAAATTGCAGAGTTTAGATAGGAGAAAGGAGACTTTCTTGCCAGTCTTCTGGAGCGATGGGCAGCCACATGAAATTCTAGGAGCTCCTCAAACTTCTCTCCTATATGCACAGTACTATTCTGGAGTCTAGCCACCAGATCTATGCAGAAAGAGCTTAAACTTGCTCTCCACTCCACTTGCAGCCTGGAAACTTGTAGTTTCCACGATTCATCTCAGGCCACAAATAGCAATGTTGAAAGTATTTATACATGTGTGTTAGGGCTATCTGGCTCAAGTTTGCATGAATTCATGGAAACCTCCAGTTTAACTCCCAAAACACAGGCAAGAGAAGGGCTGTGAGCATTGTCTTATCTTGCCATCAAACATGCAGCTAAGATAGGAAATTCAGATTTTGAAAGATGAAGGGTTAATCAGAAATATATACACCTTATGTCACTGCTAGACTTCGTAAGTTTGACATCTCTGTTTTGAAGAATAGTAAATTAAACACAGAAAAGAATGTGAAGCCCCAAGAGCTTCTTGGGAAAGATCTGATTTCACAGTCAGGTTTTTCAGCCTGACAGAGTTTGGTCGAAGGTATCTTAAAATCTAATACTGTCTTCTGTATCTCATCTCAACTGAAATTAGGTAAGACATGCTCATAGTATCTATATCTGCTGGAATGCAAAATATTCAAGATGCAGATGCTGTCTGAATCAAAATTTTGGTTTTTTTTTTTATTTTACAAAAGATCCCAAATTTCTGGTTCTAAAAAGTACTAGAAAGCATCTATTTATTCAAACTTTTCACTGAGTATATTTTTGTTCAGTAAACAAGATACAGTAGAAAGAGGTAAAGACTGATTTTCACTGTCTAGCAAATCTGTTTATTAGATAATGTTTTATTTTGAGAACATATGGAATAAGCACAGTAATACTTCTTAGTAGCTGTGTCATGATGAAGTATACAAATCTGTTAAAAATAGTAGCTATTTACAGAAATAATAATTTCTAGAGGTAGCATGGAAACAAAATAGTTGCAGGGGATTTTTTTTTTTTTAATGTGAAAGCAGCTCATTTTTAGACTACTGCTTTGTGTCCTGCACCAATACCTTAGATACCAACAACCACTGGCAAACTCTGCTAATGACAAAGTGAAAAAGAGTCGATTGGAATGTAAGTCCTAAAACTGGAGTTTATATAATATTTGTATAGTGAAAAGCTAGGTTTGAAGGAATCAAGCAAAGAAGCCAGGCTTTAATTTATTGCATTAGAGAGATGGGTAATAGGATTGATGGTAACACTAGTTGTAATTGTTTAATGAAGGTAAGTAATTACTGCTGAGTTCATAAGGTATGTTCCAGGAACTAAATTTGCATTTTAGTATATACCAAAATGTAAACAACACAGTAGAGTAAATAACAGTTACCTGCAAATGCATTCACAAATCAAAACGAAAAATCATGTATTCACTTAGGTGGCATGATATACACAGTGCTTTATTTACTTCAAAGTCTTCATCTTCTTCTGCTGTTTAACAAAATAAAGTAATTTTGAACTGAAAAAAATTAAAACCAAGAATACACCCATCTGTGTGGATAATCAGAGGGTAAATATATCGTGTCTTGCAGACACAACACAGAGAAATTTCACTGAAGATTGTAAAACCTTGGGTCCTGGGAGACCTGAGCAAGAATTGCAGACACAAGCTGGATGAATGTAGGAGGGCAGGAGCACCTGGAGCAATGGCCTGTCCCATGGACGCGGGTCTCTTGCCTTTCTGGACAACTGCTGGGCAGCCCCTCCCACTGTAGGAATCTATGGATGGAGCTATGACTCCAGGCTGCCTAGCTCCCCTGGATATTTATTTTTTTTTTATCAGAAAGAAATTTCTCTCTAGGCTCAGGTTGGTTAATTTTATCACTTCTTCAGAGTACACTGAAAGGCTGCCTTTTAGGATAAAAGGATTAAGGGCAGGCATTTAAAACGTATAAAGTTAATAAACGGATTTGTAATTAATTGTAAATTATGGAAATTTTGTGGTTTCTGTGTCTAAGAAAGTCCAAGTCTCTTTTTACAAGAGACCTATAAAATGGCTGACAGATATTTCAGTCTGGATGTAAAAGTAGGGTAAGTTTTAAACTTTCATAGGTTGTGACAACCTTTAAAATACCACACTACATTAAAGAGGAAAGGATCAAAAAGAGGACCCAGAGTGGAATAAAAGTTAGGGACTATAATGAAAAGGGCAAATACTGATTTGCTATGAAATTTACAAATACTAAGAATTTGGTGATTTTGAGGTTAGTTTCATAACTCTTTTCAGCTCTATCTACTCTATTTCTATGTTTGAATAAATGTTTAATAAATCACAAAAGCCATCCACGCAATTGTTTTTCATTTCCCAACGTGGACCAGTCAAAACTTAGGGTCTGGGGGCTTTTTGTTTGGTTGTTTTTTTTGGGTTTTTTATTGCTGTGATTTAAAATTCTTCGTGTTTAACTAGCATCAATGCAGCAATATATGTAAGTAACTCAAAGTAAGCCACTGTTTTTGGATATGGCATAGTGAAGATCTTGTCACAAAATAGATGCTTTGCGATACCTGACCATCAAGAAAACACAGTAAACATTCCTGTTCTTTAAAGGCAGAAACTATACTTGAAGAAAAGACTGTTCATTCCCTAACAGATGTACTTTTAAGTTACACCTTTTTACACCTTTTCACACTAATAAATGAAAACCCCATGCTCTCTTTACCCACAGTAAGTTGTGGTTTATGTGACTGTTTATGACCAATAACTTATAAATATGAATCCTTGTGTGTTACTTTCACTGTTCTAGTCATCCATGTAACTCAGCAATCTGAATGGATGCGTATCAAAATATTTGTGTTACACATATGGAAATCCTTCTGTATAATCATATCTTTTGCAGCACAAGAGACGGAGAAAAACATCCTTTTATCACATCTATTGTGTATTTCCTTGATTCAATTCTGAAGTTTAATTTAAAAATGGAAGAATTAAATTCTTTTCTGGAATTCATTATAACTAAAAAATATCAAGGCAAAAGAAAAAATAGATGAATTTACTTTACAAGAACAATCCATATATATTTTAACTGTAAAATTTTGTAATTTCTTATTTCTTTACTATAAATCTTTTTTTTGGTTGGGCTTAATTCTTTGACTAAAAGAAAGCTCCTAAAAAGAACTGTTTACTAGTTCTTCTAAAAACTATTTTAAAAGCTATTATTTTTCCTATGTTTTTATTCTAGGAGTGGATGAATGAGTGTTGCATTAAACTAATGAGTATCAGTGCAATTGGGTAGGAGTGCTGAGGGAAACCTATGGGGATTGCTTAATGTGAGAGAAAACTTGAGGAATTCCTCTTGCAACAGATGGCACAAGAGGCGATTGCAAAAGGTAAAGCTGTTCGGAGGGAGGTTCTATTTCAATTGTTTTTTTCCATTCAGGTCTAGTGTGACTTTGTGCAAAAAGAAACCAGCATTACCAGTCTCACATGTCCAAATTCATGAATCAACTTATCTCCCCACTGCTATTCACAAGAAATAATATTTAGTGTAATAGGACGCATTTTCATTGTGGTTTTTATGACTGCGGATATGCTTGTGTCACAGCTTTTTCACAAAACACAACGTATGGAATTAACACGTTTATTTGGAATCTCCGTTTTTTTGGTGGTGGTGGGGTGTTTGTTGGTTTGGGTTTTTTGTTTTGTTTTGTTTGCTTGTTTTGGTTTGGTCTGATTGGGGTTTTTTTGTACTCTCTGTTGTCTACATACTGCGTACTCTGCTTTTGCTCGTCTATTTCTGAAGCTTCGATTTCATAATAGTTATCTGGTGGAGGAGCTAATTACATGCGTAAAGACCAATTAAAAATAATGTTACCTGTCATGAACACAGTCTAAACAATGCTCATTTCAGGACTGGGGCATCAGAGATAAATTATTGTGTAATTTTTATGACAGGCATTTATCTCAACTCTCTATGGTAAAACAAACAGAAACACATACCTTGCAGGTTATAGACAGAGTCCTTAGATGGGAAGACTTTGACTTTATCTTAAAATGTAAGCAGCATTTATCTCCATGTTAATTTACTTTTCAAAACTGTGTGCCCTATTTTCTTTCAGGTAGTACAGTTTGAGCTCATTTTCAGCACTGAGAAATCCTGACCAAAATGAAAAAGGAATTTTTTTTTTTTTTGGAAAGTCTTTACTGTTATTTGTCATAGTTCATTACTATCAGAATCATCATCTTCAAAACTTGTTGTCATATTTAACCTATTTCATACAAAGGAATAGCAAAGAAAATTAATGCTAAGGCTTGTCCCTAAATTCTCTTGTCATAAATTGAAGATTCAAAGTCCTTTTCAATGCCAGACACTTTACTTTCTTGGAAGAAAAAGGAAAAAAAAAAGTAATTTTTTTGAATGGTTTTAATATCACTGTCGGAAATATTTTATATCTACTTATATTCCACAAAATCAGATTTCAGTGATTCCAGAGAAAAGCAACAATTCTTGAATTGTGCTGCTATTAGAAATTGTTTTCAGTGTATGCACCTTACATTTGCGCAAAAACACTAAAAAGCTGCTTTTCTTCATAAAAGTATGCTGCAAAATTTATCAGCTTCCAGAGAATTTGGCAATATCATAAAGTTTCAATTACAAACTATCTTTAAGTGTCATAACAGGTGCAAATAATGTGGTTAAAAAGTTGTGAATTTAGAAATTACTCCAATCACATATTGCTCAAATACCTTGTGGCAGAGACTGGACAGGAAGAGCAGACTGGCCAGGTGGGATGGAAATGAGTCCCTGACGCTGAAGGTTCAGCAGATGTTGCTGCTGCTGAAGTTGTTGCATCTGGAGGAGCTGCTGCTGGAAGACAAGCTGCTGGGCTGCCAACTGCTGCTGCTGCTGCTGCTACAAATAGAAGAGGGAAAAAAAAAGAAAAAGCAAATGCAGCAGAAAAAGTAAAGTGTATAGTAAAGGCTAGAAAGCCAAAACCATAAAATCAACTTCTTTCCCTTTAATCTAAGTTATTAAATAATAATGCTATTTGTAGAATACCCAGGCAGTGAAAGTGCTTGAAATTTTCTATTATATTCATTCAAGCTATTACGTGTTAGGGAAAACGGCAACATACACTTAATGACATGCTAAAGAAAAGGGTCAAGAGAAAGTATATAACAACCGTTTCAAACAAACAACAAAAAAAAGCTCAGCTCATGGAAGATGATAACAAATTTATCTATGCTAAAAGTGTAACTTCTAACAGCAGCCTGTGATTTGAAGGCACTCTTGTTTTTCCAGTTGACTGAGTTTGGTTGGCAGTGGCCCATGAACATGGTCTCCAGTGATCTGTTAGTAAACTGGGATGTAGCCTTCCTTTCACTGGCCTATTAGCTTGCTCCCTCTTCTTGTTGGAATATATTACAAGGAGCATGGGATTCAAGGCAATGAAGTGCCCTATTATGGAGCAAAAGTATAGGTTGCAATTTTGTGAGGCATTTCGAGACAAACTTGAGTCTACAAAGACTCAGGAGGGTATGAGGAGGCAGTCACACTTCAGAAAAAGACAAGCTGCTGTGGAAGACCTTTCCTTTCTAGTTTAGGGAAAAGAGAAACTTCTGATGCGCTCACTGGAAAACAGACTGCATAATGGAGCAAGTCATGTGGATTGCCCAGAGCCTCCGGAGAAATAAGGGAGCAATTTCTATTCTGTAGTTGATGGCTGTCTGAAATTCTATTCACAAATCCAAACAGAAACAAAGCCTCAGGAGGTCACAACTGCTTCCTCGACGTTTGCATAATAGGCAGCTTGAAGACAACGTCTAGGATACCTGCTGATCAATTTAACTACTTCAACGTGTTTTGTTTGTATTATGTTTATATTTGATGCAGTTTGCTGACAAGTGCAAGCTAGGCCTGAGAAACCCACTTGTCAGGTTGATTTATGAGTACATCAAACTGTAACTTTCTACTCGCCACTTCAAACCTACAGTAGCAGTTCATTAATCAGGGGCCTGTGACTTTGAAATCTGTGCTCAGTCGCTCTTTTTCAGCCATGGACTAAATTTGCATGCTCTCTGAGCTGTGCCACTGAGCAAAGTAAGGCTCCTTCCCCAATACAGATTGCCTGTAAATGCAAGATAATCAGTACAGAGTCCACCACACAGCTTGTTCTTTGCACACTCGGATTCATTAGTGAACATTAGACGACAGCAGCACTAGACTGCTCAAATCCTGTGTCTCAGAAAGGGGAGCAGGAGAATTATACCAGCCCTGCTATTAAGCCCAGTAAAAACATAAGAACAAATCTTTGATAGTTGCAAAGGAAAAGATCTAAACTGATCTTGTCTTTTCCAAGCTTCTGACAGCTCAGACTAGTATGCATCAGCAAGGGTCTTAGCTCCTACCTCTTTTGCTTGCTTTCCTGGATGCTGTTGCTGCTGTTGTTGCTGCTGCTGCTGCTGCTGCTGTTGTTGCTGTTGCTGCTGCTGCTGCTGTTGCTGTTGTTGCTGCTGTTGTTGCTGCTGCTGCTGCTGTTGTTGCTGCTGCTGCTGCAAAAGCTGAAGATGTAACTGCTCTTGCTGTTTCTTGTAAAACTCTTGTAGTTGTTGCTGAATAAACCATTTTGACTTTAATAAATAAAGGCAAAAGTTTCAAGTATTATAAATCTCCTAAACTCTTCTAGATTGGCATATGGTAGCGTAGCCATTAAGAATCACCTCATAACAAAAAATGTGATTTGAAGAGGCAGATCTACATACATTTTTTTCCAAGGCGGTTCTGAAATTTTCCAATGCAGATTCCAAAATATCCTAAACAGAAGGGTATAAAAAATCTGTATTCTAAAGGGAATGCAAGAGCCAAATTAACTCCTCAAATAACTATACCTAAGTTCCTCACATGTCCTATGTAACACATCAGAAGCTGCACTCATCCACTTGCAAGAAAGCTACAAGTCACTAAGGCCAAACAAAACTGTCTGCTTCTGAGGGGAAAAAAGTAATTAATCTGTCAATCTGCTTAGCAGGAAGCTGGATTCACAACTGAAGGTGAACTGCCTGTAATGATCATGGTACTGGATATTAAAATGTTTAAACATATAGTTCAGTGATTGAGCTATGACTATGACAAACAGACACATAATTTTCTGTATGACAATTAAACATGCACCCAAAAATTCACTCTGTGTTACACCAAGGCACTGATCACTGACACTATCATTACTGTATGAATAACAAGTTCATGTATTTTTCACTTAACTGACAGATTTTGTACTAAGAAAAGAGCAACCTCCTTTCCCTTTCGAGCCTTATGTGGTACCAATTTTTTGTATGAAAAAAATAAAATAAAAAAATGTTTCCCCTGATGAACAAGCTGTTATGTTCAAATTTCATAACCGCATCCATTTATGTGACTAAAGGGAGCACTACAGTGTTATGAATTTTAAAGCAACAATTATCTGCAACTCTATTTTCACTTCCTTTGGCAGGTCTACAATTAAAAGTGCCTAAGCACTTGAAAATTTAAATATCAATTTGTTTGGTATTTGTAATGCATCTGCCACTGCTGCTGCTGTTTTTAATATAATACTTAATATTTCAAAATACAATTTCACACTTCTGCAATTGAAACAAGAAATTTAAAGACTGAGAGGTTTTGCATTTATTTTCATTCTTTTTTGGTGTAATGAACAATGAAATATTACAAAGTAAGACCCATAAAATCTGGCTGATATTTGTGTGAATGCCCTGTGCTAACAGTCCAAAGCAGGTAACCCACATTACCTGCTGCAACATAACTGCTTGCTGCTGCTGCAGAAGTGCTTGAAGCTGCTGTGGAGATAACACTTGCTGCTGGAGAATCTGCTGCATTTGCTGAGGGGTGATCACCTGGGGAGTCATCATGGCCACTGACACAGGCACCTGCACAGGGAAAGAAAGATGTCATTGTCAAACACACTTTACTTCGCCTACACCACAGCCGTAGATCTTTTTTATTTTGTACCAAAGATGGACCATAACTTTGACATAGTATTTATCACTGCAAAGTTCCAGTTTCAGTCAGAACCTGTTATTTTAAGGCCACAGTACTGTGGCACTCTATTTCCAGAAGCATCAGATTTGATCAGACTCAAGCTTTATGCGTTCCATCTCTTATGTATTCCTGCAAGAAATTTAAGCATTGGCTAGTACAAACGTATATTTAAAAATAAAGGATCACATGGCAGGGCTCTCAACACTTCATAATCAATCAACTTATCAAATATCATAATGTTACAAATAGAAAAATCTATTGACACTTTCAAAGGATATGATTAAAACAGACAGCAAAACAAGTACATTAAAGCAGGAAATGTTTTCCACAATAAAGACACTTTGACTAAAAACATTTTTGCATAATACAACACTTCAGTAGAATAAAAACCTTCTTGCTCAGCTAGTTTTTTAAGGAGACCTGAGTTATACAGGAATGTATAGAAAAAAGGTCATGGATATTGGAGGACAGAGCAAAGGCTGCCACCTCAGTTACCTGGTCCCTGCAGAGAGAACTGGGTTATCAGTCACTCCTAACTGAAAACTGAAACTTGGGAACCCTTGGCATGAGATTATTGGCTTGTGCCCTAAACTCTAAGAATGCATTTTTGTGTAGGTGCTGTTTTGGATATGGCTTTATTTTCCACTTGTTACACACTGAGATCAGATGTCTGCATATGCATAAACATCCACATACACACATGTTCTCAAGAATACATGTGAGAGCTGGAAAGACACAGCAAGTGTGTGTGGTTCTGCATGTAAGAGAAAAGTGCTATGGAAGAGCCTGAGGAATGTGTCAAGCGGCTGTGGCAGACACACAGTGTGAGACCATTGCTCCAGCTAACCAGGACACAAACAGCTGTCAGCAGGCCAGGTTTTCCACCCATGAAAAAGCAGCCACTTGCTTTTTTAGCGAAATTCAAATGTTTTTTCTGTATATAATAGCAAGCTGGAATATAAATACTGCTTTGTGAAATGTTGTGGGACATTCCAGTCTTCTGTAAATCAGCAAAAATAATATTATTATTAATAAATTAAAACATGAGCCAATCTTAAGAGGAAAAACTCTTCTAATGTTTCTATTACTTGAATCTACTCTGAAAGACTTTGTATAAATGTAACACTTAGAGGAAAAAAGAAATAAAAATCTGCTGAAGCTTACTTTTAAAAGAAATTACTTCATCTAATATTACAGAATACTACTTTCCACTCGATTCATTACAGCATAAACGATGGTTTTAAAGCACTGATTAATGAAGAGACTGAAAGTAAATGTACCAGCCATTACTAAAAAGTCTTGATAAACTTTTGCAAACAACAAGCGAATTTTAAGAATAAAAATTCTGAAGGTCTTACTCTAAAATACAAGTGGAGAAGATGAACCAGATTTCCACTCAGAATAAGACACTTGTGGGAAAGGAATTTAAGCTCAGCTATCACTGTACTCCTTCTGTAGTCAACAGAATAAAGAAATCCTAAGCAGAGTTTATCTGATTTAGTTTAGGCATCTATTTTAGCATGTAACTAAACCCACTCTCGGCTCACTTGTCTCTCCACTGAGTGCAGACTCACTTGAGTAAACACCTAACTTTCTGATGGTTAATGCCGATTATTACACTTTGTGATACCTAGAAGTTTTGTAGCATTGGAAACACCACCTCTATATACAATAATGTTTTATTTAAAGTTTAGTCAGTCTCACAGGCAGGACAAGGAGGTTTTTACAACTTTGGGATGCATGAGCAAAGAATAAAATTAATTGACTGCAGTCAGTATTCAATTCCCTCTGAAGTCACTAAAATTTCCTTTGTTTATGTGAGACTTGAACTTGCATTCTTGTAACAATTTCACCTCAGCGATGCTACTCAACTACCATGTCCCACAGACAAGAGAAGGCAGAGGGACACTTTCCCAATTAAACCATTACCTTTAACCTTTAAACCCTGCAAGAATTTTTCTAGCACTTACATGATTACTGCTGTAAAATATAACAAAATTGAAGGTGTTGCACATCACTTCTCTTACCTTTACATTCCCTCTGTCTTTCCTGGCTTGTGTATTTGCAAACACACAAGTAAAAGTTTTGATCTAAAGAGAGTGAAAATCAACTTAACTCTGTAAGTGGCTCTGACTTTTTCTTAGTCTGTGCTAAAGAATCTAGCCAGTGAGATGTTTAGCAAGACTTGTGCTGCCACAGAGTCCTCTATTCCTCAGTTTGAAATACAGATTCCCCTTCATCAGGTATATTTTTGCTAGCTTTTGTAGTATCTGCTCTGAAGCTCCCTGGTTGTGTACATGCTCTTACTCTTGGAGATGCCTGCTTTGCAGTACACTCTAACAGCTTTTCTCTCAAATTTGTTTTTCTTGTAATTTTTCAACAGTCACTTTTAAAGTGAATAAGCTGAAGCAGAGAACCTAATATACTTGCTTTTCAGGATGATAGACAGAAGAATGAAAAAACCTGGCAGTCAAGATCATTAGTAAAAATACAGATTTATGTAGATAATATTGCCTTTAACAGAATTTTATCTGATGACCCATACGTGTGTATCATACCTGATATATAAACTCTTTCCCACAGATAAAGGACAAGACATTTTGAAAACTGCAATGAATTTTACATTAGCAAAACAAAGATTAAGCATATTAAGCAAAGATATTTCTCTAATTGTCACTGGATAATATAAATTGGTACATTTCACAGCCTTCAGTGATACACCAGACTGTACTTTACTTCTTGCTGGCATAATGCTACTGTGCTATCTGATTTGGAAGATTATCCAAAACCTGCTATTTTATGGCCAATTATGTGCACTCGGTATATTTCCTTAGTTTAATGTCTGCGTTTTTGAAAATTTCCAATCTGATTTTACAAAAATGTAGTAGAGAGGCAATCTCTGACTCTTTTTCATATAACTCTCACAATATATTGGAAATTAGTTCAGGTAGAACAACCCAGTGAAAAGATACGTACGGTCCTTCCCTTGAGTGGGACACAAACTCCCAAAAAATTCTTGGTCAAACCTCTCATGAAAAACTACAGTGACAAAGTGAAACGTGATTTATGACTGCAACCCACTTATTACAAGGCATCCTCAAAGAAACTGAACTCCCAACTCTGCCACGAAGATGACTGCTATGGTAGCCCTACAAAGCACAATGGATGGGACAACCTCTGAAAAACACGTGATCTGTGGGCTCCATGATGGACCCAGATGGAGGGCTCATCATGTTTGGAAGAGTTTCTCATGTTTTTGATGGGGGCTGTCCCCTATTTCTTTGAATCCCATTAAATAAAATTACAGATGTGTAAAAACCCAAATTTTTAACACATCTAAATAGCATTTCAGATGAGAATGACTGTAAACTGCTTTTTTAATACATGAGAATGTACTAATTAAAACAAAATAAAAACTATGACTCAGAATGAAAACATTGATATTGGAAATTAGATAGGAGAACACAGTTGTAAAAATGAAGACAGAATGTCTTAAGAAATTCCCCCAGGTAAATTTAACAGAGAAACAGTGGAGACTACGATTTTGTATTTAACACCACTCTTCTGTTGTACATTAAAAGTTCAGCTTTACCTGTAAAACAGGTAAACACTCAGCTTGCCAGGTAAACACTCATTTATTGTTCCTATGAAATAATCACAAACAGAAGTCATACAAATTTATATTTTTGCATGTTACATACAAAAATCATATTCCTAACAACATAAATGGATGGCAGCATAGGTAGCCTGCACCCGCATTAAACCTTTGCATTTTTTAGGAGCCTTGAAAAACTGCACGGATATTATCAAGAAATGTTGACCAATCTGACTTTGAATAAAACCAAATATAAACAGTGAAGACACACTATTTTTATTCCAAGTTCCTTTTATTTTGAAACTCAGGTATTGATAATGAAAATTACATGCAAAGCCTTCCCTTAGTTTTCAGTGCTCTTGAGGAGAGTCACAAAATCACACAGTCATATTCACAGACAGTTCAAGAAGGTAGGAATTTTTTCTTTGTTACAAACAGAGGAAACAAGTCACAGCTTTTAAGAATTGAATCCAAAGTCACATCATATTCTAAGTGACAGATCTGAAAACGAAACTGTTCAGTAAGACAAGTCTCTCAGGCTTATTGAAAGATGTGTAATTAAACACTTAATGGAGAATCTTCTCTCTGTAGGATCTTTCTTTAAAAAATAAATGTAGGTGTGAAACCACACACAGTGCAGGATCAGGCTCTTCAGCAGGAAATAATTATATTAAAAGAATAAATTATTGCATTCCTTCTCTTCCCACTTTGGCATATGTGTAGAGTGTCTACCAGAATAATAACCTTTTGAATCCTTCTGGTTCTATGGTATTGAAAGAGCTGAGAATGAACTGAGTGGTATTTGTAAGCTGTTCATAACTAGTGAACACGAATACATAATGATCCCCATACACTGACAATAGGTACTGCCCATTTTATACAGTTTAGATAGGGTTACATGCTTCTGAAAATATAATTAAGATACAAAGTACTAATATTTATCAACAGAGAAACCCTAAGACACATGCAACAGGAAGAATAACAAAGTAATGTAGATACACCCATTTCGTATCAGGACTCCTGTTTTCTGTGTTTACAGTGGAATTTAATTTATTATTTTTAATCTATCTACATTTTAATTCATTTAATATAACAGAGTGTGTTTTGTTGTGTAATCATAGTTTGTTGAACTTTATCCTAACAGCTTTTTTTTTTGTTTATTTGTTATTGGACACTTCTCCAATTACATGTAAACATTTTAGAAAAGATTAAAGTAATTTCTATTTACAGTTACTGGAAAACAAGCTCTCTGTACTCCTGCTGTAACAGAGATTATAGGTGATATATAATATG